GAAGAAAATCATTTATTTACAACGGCACAATTTGAATTTACAAAAGGACGATCAACCGAAATGGCCATAAGAAAAGTAATTTATTTCATTCTAGAATCTTTGGACAATTCCAATAGATGTGCAAGTGTTTTTTGTGACCTATCAAAGGCTTTTGATTGCTTGCAACATGATGTAATGATATTAAAATTGCAGCATTATGGGTTTCAAGGAGCTGAACTAAATATGATGAAAACTTATTTAAGTAACCGTAGCCAAATTGTTTCAGTAAATGAGCAAACTTCTTTAGCGAGTTCTGTGTCAATTGCTCGACAACAAGGCTCGATCTTGGGCCCTCTTTTGTTTTTGATCTATATTAATGATTTTGGCAATGCAATACCAGATTATACACATATCGGTTTAATAGACAAAAGTTTATCAAATTTAGACGATAAAATTAATTGTGTTATGAGCTTGCTAAAAGAATAATAAAAGCCAATAAAAGCATTGTAATGCATTATCAAATGAGGCTAGGAATTCGTGATAATTCGACTGCAAAAGAAAATGTTTTTTTAGGATATACAATAGATAGCACAATAAACCATAAAGCTCACATTGAAAAAATTTGTAAGAAAATAGCTAGCGGTAATTACGCATTATTTAAGCTAAAACCATTACTAGATAAAAAGACACTCATATCTGTGTACTATGCCTACATTCATTTTATAATAAGATATGCCATTACTATTTGGGGTAATGCTCCGGATATTATAAAAGTTTTAAAATGTCAAAAACAGTCTATAAGAATAATCAATGGTCTGAAAAAACGTAGCCCGACAAGAAAACATTTTAAGAACGACAAAATAATAACAGTGGTTTCGCTTTATATATATAATAGTTTATTAGAGGTACATGAGGATAAAGGAATACCGAAAAAGAGGGACATAAATCAACACAATCTGCGTAATAATGAAAAACGTGTTCTACACATGAATAGATTAGTAAAAGTAAAAAAACATGGGCGTTACTCAAAAATATTGATGTATAATAAATTACCAAAAAGTTTAACCAGCCTACATTATAGCAAATTTAAACAGACACTTAAGTATTTTTTTGAGAACAACCCATTTTACAAATTAAGCGAATACATGTCAATGCAACTCATGGAATCGTCATTCTTGTGTAACGTGCAAACAAAATAAATTACGATTCTATGACGTAAAGCATTAATGTATATAAATTAAGGAAATAGTACAATAATATAATTTAACCTTATAAATTTATTAAAACTTTTGTAACCAATGACTTGCCTGTAATGATTGTTATATTAAGGTCAATAAATATTTCTGATTTCTGATTTCTTTAAAACAAGTGAAAACTACAGTACCAGAACTTTTATTTTAATTCATAAGTAAGATATGTTTTGATAAAAGCATTCATTATTAATAAATTGTATGTGGAATAATTTTAGTTGCAGATTCAGTATTATATTATATATATTTTAGCTGCAAAGTTTTTGACGTACGTTAGAAAAACACATTTGTTATGAGTGACGGCGTACGGGTACAACAACCGATTCCGTACCGGAGGTGTAGTTGACGGCGACTTTAGGAAAGACAATATAGACTTCGTGGCTTCCGATTTTACCGTTTGGACCATTTTTAAATGGGAAAAAGGCATTCTAACTTAGTCCTCAGTGGTGATAACGCATCTGCAGTTTAGATTTTTATCGAGGATGTAACTGTCTATGGGACACAGCACCTACTTACCATCAGATTATAGGCTCGCTCGTTTGTCATTCTTACTTCTATAAAAGGTAAAAAAATAAAAAAGATACACAGCAAAATTCATGTGTGAAATGGTAAATTCGGTTCACGGTAACCGATTCAGCCACCAATCCCTATTGGGGGTTGTTCACATTTGGAGAAGCTTATTACCAGAAACTTTAGTACAAGGTACAGAAAGATCACTCTGTAAAGATATTTAAACAAATAGCTGTTATTGAAATGAACAGATTAAGAGCAATGCAACTCGCACAGCGCTGTCTAATATTTTATTCACCTTAGCCTTGGTGCCTCTTTCTATCGATTCCTATCTCTTCTGTCTATGCGTCACGAGTAACATAGGGTGGTAACTTACAATATAATAAGAAAGGCAAATGGCTCGGCACCTAAGAACGGAGTAGAGAACTGGGCGCGTCTGGCCTGGTCAGAGCGAAGAGCGTTCAGCGTGGCGTGTAGCGGCGAGTTTAGCGTATGCTTGGAGCAGCCGCCATTCAAGACACTATTAAAGAATAGTGTGTTTTCATGCGCACCAAACGCCCCGTGCCGCGTGACGTTAGTCACTAAATGTGAATGGGAATAAATTATTCCTGTTGATGGAAATAAAAGGAGAAAGTCCTATCATTGTAATGACAAAGTATCAAATAATGATAAAACAACGGTTATAAAATTAAAAGTAAATAAAATTATGTCCAGTGTAGGTACACGAGCGTAACAGTTACGCTTACGCTTTTTATCAGTGGAGAAACGCATAAACAATAAATAGACGTCGCCTTTCTTATTAATATATAATAGTATTACTGCGGATAGGGATAACATTTTATATATTCCAATATTAGAAATGAAAGATCTGATTTGGTTCGCCCTAGGAACGTACCAAATTCAACAAGCTCGCTCATATTACGGCGAGCATGTGCAGTTCCATGGCGGATACAGAATAGAAATCTGTAGTGAGCAATTCGATCCATCTGAATATGATCTTAGTATTACAAATGGAACTACACTAACCAAACCCAAAATATAAAATAATATACCTGGCCGAACAGGAATGGCAGAGTACTGCTGTAGTTGTTTAGTAGGTCGACGCACAGTAGGCTGTTGCGCACATGTTAGTTTGGTATTTAGGATGGGTCAGACATCAGCAACATATTTCAGCACCGGCAGAGTTTTTAGATGGTGTAATTATTAGGGAAGATGATGACGAATAAATGTTGTACAATTAATTTCTTGTTTTATTTACCATTGGTCGAATAATATTGATAAATAGTTTCAATCCAATGAGGACTAATAATCTTTCATTCACCAGATCTCGCCTGTTGACACAGGTGAAGTTTTTTGTTACACAATGTAATTTAATTGAGAATTTAGGTTTAGATAAAAGTTTATCAATTTCTGTAGTATTATATTAATACACAAAACAATGCCTCAGGAGTTTATTCTTTAATTTTTTGCACATTTTTAACTATTTTTGTAATTTTCAACTTTTATGAATATCTGTGGTTTGGTTTTAATGAAATTAATATATAAATATAACACAACAATCAACAGAATCAAGTGAGGTGGGCAGGCGTGCAATCTGAGGATACGCCCCCTCGAGGGCTGGAGTGCGGAGTAAGACAGGGCGGACTACGTATCTTCTCCTGCACTTTATAACCTCTACGTGAACAGTCTGATTGGCGAACTCGGTGGTAGTGGAGTCGACTGCTCTATTGATAATATTGCATATAACAACATAAGTTACGCCGACGATATGGTGCTGCTGAGCCCATCAATTAGTTGTCTAAGAAAACTATTCAGTATCTGTGAGAAGTATGCAACGGCTCATGTCCTACGATATAATGTCAAAAAAAGTGAGATAGTATTTTTTAAATCAAAATATAAGAGCTACAATTTTCCCACTGTTGTCAGTCCTTTTACACTTGCAGTCTATGGGTTGAGTATACAGGGAGGACGCTCACAACCCTGCGCGTCCAATATAATAACGGCTTCAGGATGCTGATGGGGCTGCCTCGGTACTGCAGCGCGTCGGCAATGTTTGCTGAAGCTCGCATAGACAGTTTGCCAGCTATCATACGCAAACGGGTTGCCTCCGTATGGTGCCGTGTCCGAGATAGCTCCAACAGCCTCCTGGCGGCGATAGGTAGTCGCTATTGCTGTCCTATCTTGAGGCACTGGAACAGCGTCCATATCGACTCGAGACCTGCTCTAGTAAATATAAAGTAGATAGTGTATAGTAATATAGTAATGTAACCTTTTAAATTTTATTTATTTACTAACCCTAGCATATAAGTTCTTTTGTAATTACTAACCCACTCTATGGAAAGAAATTTTTGAAATAAAGTATAATAATAATAAGCAGCTGGCTTGATGTTGGCAGGGTCTTCGCGGGCCCAGCAATCGGCACCCGCCACTGGTGGAGTACGCCGCATGCGTTAGACAACCCAGGTGAACAGCAACGCATTGCAGGCGTATTTTAGGGCGAAAAGGGGAGAAACTGGGGGTTTGGCGTATCGGGTAAGAAATTTACAAACATACAAGATCGCGCGAAAAACATAACCTTTCCTTGACAGTCGGGTAAAATGTGTGTGTAGTTGTATGCTTTGACAGTTGACAACGGCTCAGCAGAAAAATTCAAAAAATAATAATTACTACAACTGTCTTATATATTTAGCAACTGATGTTTTTAAAGTATTTTTTTAGCCGTAAGATGATGCGGTGACCGGGATTAAGAAAGGAATGCTTCGGTGGTTTGGTCATGTAGAAAGAATGAATGAGGAAAGACTGACAAAGCAAATATATGTTGCAGAAGTGAATGGAAAGGGACGTCCTAGGCGAAAGTTTACATCGACTTTTTGCTGAGCTGGAGCCATCTGTAACCGTCACCGAGCAAAACCTGGCAGACCGAGTTCGGTATATCTTGCGCTCAAATATATTTGATGTCACCAAACTCGAACGGCTACGACGTGACGCTGTTCCTACATCGGATGAAAATGCTGCGGCTGAGGATGTGGCGCAACAACTTGCTGAGCAAACGCAAACGTGGATGCCGCCGTGAATACCCCAGTTGTGGTTGATTCAAACGATGATGGAACAGTCGCCCAGGAACTGGAACTAGAGCAAATGAGGAGTACATTTGAGGAGGCGATTGTGGAAACGCGCAGTACGCCTCTCGAAAATCGACCGCGACTTCCCCGCATAGCCCTAAGCAAGCGGAATCGGGCGGTCGTGAGGGCTCTGAAGACTATGAACCCAATGCTGGTGACCTATTTGGAAGCCAGCCGGGACCTTTGCGAGACGGACTCAATTCTTTTTGGCGCCGCACTGGCAGTCTGCCGTATTATAGGCGCCAAACTTTCCACGGCTGGACGCGCTACTGGACATAGTAGTGCTATCCCAGCCTGGAGAATAAGAATTGAAGAACGTATCGCAAAGGCTAGCGCGCTCATCGGCAGACTGATATGCTTCAAGTCAGGCAATACCAGGCCAAGGATTGTGCGCACCGTCAGGATGGCGTTTTCTGGGACAAATGTTAGTTTGTCCCAGCCGGATATAATGCAAAAACTGGCGGAGCGCAAAGCATGCAGTTGTATATATCTCGAATGGTATCTATAGTTAGGTAATACGTTTGATACGATTTTTTTAATACTTTTGAGTGCTTTTACGTCTTACCACTTTGTTCCACTTAAATAAATAAAAAGTTTAAATATTCGGTAAAGATGAGTTTTGATTGAGAGCAATGAAAAGCTAGAATGCAGTATTGGATACACAGAAACAATCACAACGCTTCTAAACCTAAAGCCGAAAACTGTAGGCTTGTTTCTTTATTTAAGTCTCCTTTGATTCATCGTAATCGTGACTTTTGTGACTATTGTGATAGGGTCTTGGGTTTTAAAATCGGTACCAATGCACTATTTCGTTGAAACGGTTTTGTTTTAGTTATTGTAAGTCAGTACTTGACTACTAACCCACCTGATGGTAAGTGGTGATGCAGTCGAAAATTTGATTCTTATTAAAGTCATTCAAACAAATCTAATTAGATATACACGACGGAGCCAAGCAGCAGCTTATGCTGCTGCACGAATTCGCCGTCTTGATAGGGGTATAAGTGTGCGGTCCTTCATGTTGAAAGGGGAAGGGTTGCTAACTCTGAGGGCATATTATAAGGTGCGCGCCTTTTTAATAAGATACCCTCGGAAATAAAAAAAAATCATAGGCATCTATGCCCGTCAACTTAAGGACCCTTTCCGAGGCTGAAACATACCGATACCTGGGTATGTCACAGTACATCGGTATCGATGAGGCTGGTAAGAAACAGTCAGTTTGCGACGTGTTTTATGCACGCTTGACCAAAGTGCTTAACAGCCTTTTGTCCGGTGTGAATAAGACACAAGCATATAACGGCTGGGTCATGTCTATCCTCATGTATACCTTTGGCATACTCAGGTGGAGTCAGACTGAACTTAACGCCCTGGATAGAAAAGTCTGCACTACAATGACGTCCCATAGAATGCATCATCCGAGATCGTTGGTAATGAGGCTGTACTTGCCGCGAAAGCATGGTGGGCGTGGCTTCCTGAGCGCGCTCACCATTCATAATCGCGAAGTGTGCAGCCTCCGTCATTACTTCCTGGCGAGATCGGATGATCCATTCTATAAGGACGTCATTTGTTGTGATAAAGGGCTTACCCCTCTATCCTTAGCCAACGAGCAATGGCAGGACCCAGCAGTGCATAGCATCTCCGACCGGGAGACCGGACTCGGAGGAGAAGGAGCTCTACGGGGGGTACTACAGGGCTCTACATGAGCCCTACGTAGATACAGTCGCCTCCCTCAACTGGCTACGTTTCGGTGACCTCTTCGGGGGAAACCGAGGGTTTTGTCTGTGCAATACAGGATCAAGTTATTAAGACCAACAACTATCGGAGATACATCCTAAAGGATGGCGTCTGTCGAGCTTGTCTCCATCTCGGGGGAGTCACTTAGGCATGTCATCTCCGGTTGTTCGGCGCTTTCTAACTCTGAGTACTTGCACAGGCACAACCTAGTAGCCAGAATTCTACACCAGGAGCTCGCTCTGAAATACGGTCTCGTGGACCGTAAATTGCCGTATTACAAGTATTTGCCGGAAGCCGTGCTTGAAAATGACCGCGCCAGGCTCTACTGGGGCCGGGCCATCATCACAGACAGGAATATTCTTGCGAATAAGCCTGATATTGTGCTGATGGACCGGGCACAGTCAAGGATATTTTTGGTCGACATTACCATACCGTACGACGAAAACCTCGTGAAAGCCGAAACAGATAAGCGAACAAAATATCTGGACCTGGCTCACGAGGTAACCGACATGTGGGGTGGTCTGCCGGCCGAAATTATTCCTGTAGTCATCTCTGCGAATCCCAGTCAGCCTCTCGGGTCATCTGAGGCGACTAGGACTCCGTGACGGACCGCTCCGAGCTCAAATGCAGAAGGCGGTGCCCGCATTGTCCGCCGGTTTCTTTCCCTTTCCGCCTAACCCTCGGCCGTTTGGTCTCCCCTGCCGAGGGCTTCCATCTGGTTGGATCTTATTTATTTATGTATTTTTTGTATTTATTTTATTTTATTGATATTTATGTATATTTATCTTTTCATTTTAACTTAAAATTATATATTTATAGAACCCAACCAGATGAGAAAATTATATAGATACCCAAAAAAAAGAAACATTAACCTTTACATCTTTCGAACAAATTGAGTCCCCTCTATGAAATCTGTCAAATATTACACCTCATTTGTAAGTAGCGCCGCTCTGGTGGCAGAAAAAGTCGTGGACGCCCTGCCCTCATTATCTAGCTCTAAAGTGGAACTTGTACTATGGCTAAACATATTATTTTGAATTCTCTGCAGTGAATTCCTTAACAAGCGAGTAAATGCCTTAATAGAGAGTTTAATCTGCTTCACAAGTTGATTACTCAAAAATAACTTTGAAACAGTAATATACCTAATGGTGAATAATTGTTAATTGAACATTAATTTAAATTATTTAAATCCTTTAGGTAAAAAACTCATAAATTGATAATAAATCGTGAAACATTTAAGAGATATAATTTCACATAACCTACAAATCTTCAAAGCCTCGTAACAATTATTCCCGGCTTCTTCGATAAAAAAATCTTAGACAAACAATCTCAGCGAAGGATGGTGAATCGCTGTTAATATTTTTGATGTAAAGACGCTTCCAGATTACGTGACATAATAATTTATATGGGCGTTCGCCATTGTTATTTTAAACGATGTCTAGTGTCAGGGGCAACTTAAGGCGTCGACTTATTGTATTCAACAGTCAACTGCAGTCGATACGCCAGTATCAAGACTCCGCGTCAGACGTCGGTTCTAACCTAAAGACTAATAAATTGGATTATAAAGATGGAACATCCCGTTGGTTTTATGGTGATGACGAATTCGGAAAGGAATAAATCGTTCATCGCGGATTGTTGATATATTGTCATAAAGAAAAGAAGTTAGCTAGGTTTTCACTTTTTATACATGTAAACAATGTTGCGTTTAAAAAAATATTTTTATATAATTCTACTACCATTGGAGGTTTAATATTTTGCTTCGTGAGCTATCAGGCACTTCAAAGCACGTTTAATTTTTTATATGGGTTGAGTTAACTTGGGTACAGACATACGCTGCAGCTTGGCTCTACCACGTAAAAGACAAAATCATCCTTTGCAATTAGTTAGCGACGAGTACTATTATAGTCAGCAAGTTACCTGTTACCAGCCTTTTATTTTTTGGCAACAGTAAGACAAAAGTTATTTATACCTTAATCTAACATTTCCCACCCCAACCAAACAATACACTCTCCTGGCATGGCAGTTTTTGAGTTATCTTAATAATGCGTATTTAATTGACTTCGAATGAATTGATTCGGTCGTATTGAAGTCGGTTGTACTACATTTTTAATTTTACCACTTGTTTAAACTGAAATGACAAAGGAACTTACACTCAACCTGATGATGTGTGGCTATCTTTAGCCCGCGGACACCTGCAGTCAAGTCAGGTTACAGATGGTTGTACCTATACGACTTAGAACTAAGATACGTTGCCTTACAGCCTGTAATTATACTGTATTTTAACATGACGAACATAGCAGTGGTAGGTTCCTAACTATTATAATCCTCGACAAAAAAGTAGGTAGTCCTATTATGTAGTAAACGTCGCCTTCGAATTTTTTTACAAATTTTTCCGTCGACAAAGTGCTGTTCGTCTGTATGCGCTGTTATTCTTCATTACGAATGAGCCTTGTGTGAAAAGGCTTTGTACGTGGTAGAGCCACGCTGCAGCTATATTATGGTTATAGAAAGAATGGGTCGGATGGGAACACGCTCTCACAAAATACCTGCGTAAAATAGCAGCTTAATATGGTGAGTCTAGAGATCCGGATACTCTTTTTTACTGGAAATGAGGCATTCCATCTTAGTCTTCAGGGGTGAAAACGCATCATCTGCGTTTAAATTCTTAAGCTAGCATAAATGTAGATGTCTATGGGCCACAGCATCCACTTACTATCTGGGTTTCTTGCTGGCTCTTCCCAGGGCAGAGGTTTTTTTCCCGAGCCAGTGGTAAATAAAAAAAAAAGAAATAATAATAAAATGAATTTCAATAAGTATTATACAATAATCTATCATTCATTTCATTTTATTTCATCAGGTGGGCTGTGTGCTCGTTTGTCATCCTTATTCTATTAAAAAAAAGTAGATGTAATTGATATATAAATTATACACAAATGAAAACTTCACATTTTTTGAAACATTCCATATCACTAATTAAATAAATTCGCAATATACAGTTACTCATTTTATGCGTTATCAGTTAAGAAACATTAATTTCGTAATTACGAGTACTTAGCTCTACTAAAGCAGATTCATTTTATACAGAGCAATCTAAAGAGTACACAAAGGCTAAGTTGTATTTTATCAAAGCTTGGTAATAAACATTTGTAGCGAGTGGTATGGATTTGTAGCGGTGGATATTAACTTATTTTACACACAACCAACAACAAACATCCTATCTTACTGCCTAAAAGACTGGAACAAAATACGGCCAGACCACAATTACTTGCGCCCTCCTTTCTGCCAAGGAGGGTCGCGTTCGTATACGGCTTAGAGATCTCTAGTTAGACCGTTAAGCCAGTCCCTAAAAGGCGGTATTTAGTGGGTAAAAGTCTCCACATAACCACGCAGCCGGCTGCGTGGTTATGTAGAACATTCACCGCCTCCCTCCCCCGCTTTTCCAGAGGGTTGCCCATATTTGCTTCGGGCGCAAAAAAAAAAAACACAATTACATGCGAAGGTGCGCGCCTTTTTAATAAGATACCCTCGGAAATAAAAAAAATGTAGACTCGTTCAATGTATTCAAAAAGCGACTAGCAAATCATATAATCACAAACATATCTATCTGAGTGCGTTAGACTGGTTTGTTCCTGGTCTTAGTATTGTGGTGCTAAGGTGATAGTGAATACCAGAATTTAACTTTTCTTTTATTTGTATAGATTTTTCCCGTCGACAGCTGTTTTTGATGTTGTTTATTTTTCAACATAGGTACGACAACGAATTTAGTTATTTAGATTT